AGCTTCCTGCCCTGCAGAAGAGGCCCCTGCTATCAAAAGCAGGTTTGGCGCTACAAACGCTTGGTTGCAGGTTACTTAGCTAGTGACTTCACCCCATTCAGTGATTTGACTTTCTTCAAAACTTTTCAACACACATGTACAGTTTAATGTTTTAAAGTGATTTTAATAGATTTAGTAAATTTAGGCCTTTAACATAGGTTGTCATAATTGCATATTTTATTTTAAATAGGTGTATTTGTAAAAAATCAATCTGTATTTAATTTATTTAAAATCAATTTTTAAAAAATCTTTTTAAAAATAATGAATATTTCCTCTGCTAACTTTGAGAGAGGCCTACCCATAAAAGTTACATTATCATCGTGTTTAATATGCAGTGAAGTAAGATAGAAGAATTCAGCTTTGTTATGGTTCATCCTTTCATAGTTGTATAACTTCATATAACTTAAGCTGTGATGCCTACAGAAAAGTGACAACTGATAGCCAGCTGGCATGTTGAGACCAGTGCCTGTCATGCTGATCATTATTGTGGAATTGTTTCCATTTGCTTTTTTGACTTTATCCACTGGTTGTCTCATCGTCTACTTAGATTGTAAGCTTGTTGAGGCAGTGGTCTGTGTGTTTTGTATAGGATCTATACCAATGGGGCTCTCATCTGGAGTTCCTAGGCACTACTACAATAGTTTCGGGATTTTTTTAAAGCTGATATTTGCATCTGGGAAGCCAACAGCCTCTCCAGACCTCTGGGCAAGGTACAGAGGTGGTTCTACCCTCCAGGAGGGGGACAGAGGGGCCCTTGGGCAGAGCCAGGGCAGCTAGCTGTTAGCGCCATCCAGAGCATGCCACCCAGGGCTCTGGAGCATGGCATGCAGCACTCCAGTGGTAATTTAAATGGCCTAGGCCCCTTTGAATCGCTAGGCCCTGGGGCAGTTGCCTCCTTTGTGTCCCCTCTGCCAGCAGAAGTGTTCTGCATGCTGTCTTTATTGAACCACCTCATCCTAGTTCGAACTAGGGGAGTAGTGTAGACATACCCTTTTAAGGAGGTTGGCAAGCAAGGAACACAAATAAGACATGTTTACCTACCAGTGACTGGTAGGCCATCCCTTCTTCCTCTAATGCTTCCCACACAATCTTATAGAAATCCTGCTGTGATATCTGAGCAGTCCTAATTTGTAAAATGAACACTGCATCATTGTTTCTTTTTTCTTTTTAGTTTCAGAATTAAGAAAACTCTTTGAACCAAACAAGCAGAACATTTTGGAAATGAAAAGGTAAAACAGCCTTTTGTCAAATTGCTGTAAAATGCAAATAATTTAGCAATAGTTTCTGGCGAGGGTCATAAAATAATTCTATTACCTAAGTCCTTAGGTAACAGTTATACATTTTCTTCCATCTTTTGCAGGAAAGAGAGGATCGCCAGACGTTTAGAGGGTATTGAAAATGATACGCAGCCCATCCTCCTACAAAATTGTCCAGGATTAGTTACCCACCGTTTACTAGAAGAAGATACACCAAGATATATGCGTGCAACAGACTCATATAGTCCCCACTTTGGTAAGAACTATGTTTATATTTTTATAAAAATAAATAATCGGGCATACAGTAGCAGATACACTATTGTCAAGCTTAATATTTACTTTGAGAGAGAGTGCTGCCACAAGATGCTTTTAAATTGCTTTTTAGTATTCTTTCTGGCTGATTTTTGTGCATATAGTCTGTCTTCCCAGCATTTTGGGAATAGACATTAGTTGTATTTTAAAACATGGAAGTTATTATAAGAATCCCAACTTCCTTGGAAAGTTAAAGACACACTCAATATTCAGGAGCACTTACTGCATGTTCCTTTTTCATTATACGTGTTTTGGAGAGGTCACTGAAAGAAGTAAAAGTTTATTTCAGAATAGTTCATGGGAGTAGCCTTAAACAGTTGTGCTAGTTCATTCTGAATTGCAAAAACCTGTAAGAACTAAAAACGCTAAGTAACACCGTATATATGTTTGAAGCCTGTTTACTGAATGTCAGGTGTGATACTCCACACAGTTTTGAATAATATTTTTAATAAAAATGTGAATATAGGATAAGTTATTAAATCACTCTTAATTCTACATACTTTTTTTTGTAGGAAGATCAAATGAAGAGGAGGAAACTTCAGATTCTTCCATAGGAAAACAACCTAGGTCATCCAGGTATCGAGCAGAACCTACAGGAGCAAATTCAGAGCCTCCATATAGCACAGGAGCCATGGATAACCAGGGACTTGAGTCGAAAGCAGAAAGAATAGCTAGGTACAAGGCAGAGAGGAGACGCCAGCTAGCAGAAAAATATGGATTACCTTTAGAATCTGAGGCAGATTCTGAATATTTATCCAGATATACCAGGCCACGAAAAGAGCCCGACACTGGTGACAAAAAGGAAGTAAAAAGCGACAAGCAGGAAGAAGAAAGCAAAGATTTTAGTTCCCTGTACTTCTCCAGGTCTGAGAATAAGGAGTCATTGAGTACTGCTTCTGAATCGAAGGAACACTTCTTCCATGAAAAAGACAGAGTTGCAGAGAGAGAAGAGCTTTCAAACTTGGAGAATAAAAAAGCACAGGAAGTTAGTGCTGCTGGACAAGCTCAGGACTTGTCACCAGAAGTGGATGGTTCTGCATCTTTTTCATACTCTGAGCAGGAATCCTCCTTTAAGGAAGTGCCAATATCACCTAAGCAAACTTGCCGGTTATCCCTTTCCTCACCAAAGCAGCCAGTTTCACCAAGTCATTCACACATTGATCAGCCCTTCTACAGTGACACCAGACAAGGGTAAGCATGTTTTTCCTATATTGGTATTCACCTTTATAAAAATCTCTATAATAAAAACAAATTCTCCCCTGGGGTAATGTCCTGTTGCCTTGAGCTGAGTTCTGGCTTTTGATATTTAGGTACTCATTGGCGTATCTTGTAAAACCGGATTACTATGCTTACATGCAATAAGGTTTTACAAATCTGTGTGTGTTTGCTGAGAGTTTTATTAGATTCAAGATACTGTAACAAGAAGGTCCTTTTATGAAAACAAGCTCTCCTTTTTAAAGAGATTTTTGGTGAAATTAAGAACGGGAATGGTTACAGTACTACATTTGCTGCATTTTGATAATTTTCATTTACTGTTAGGTTTAGAAAATGCTTGCAATTTAAATGTATTTGCATCATATTCAATATGTCTTTTAGTAAAAGCAAATTTTCTGAAATACTTTTCTCTGTACATGGAATATTTTGCCAGTGTTAAATAGAAGTAGCTTGTTTCCGTAGCCTGCAAATGAAAGTCTTAAACGAAAATGTTGGTTAGTTGGCTGAAAAGAATTGTCTGGCCATTGTAAAACATAAGGACCATGGGATTTAGGCAAATACTGATTCTGTTAGTAGTCCCATAGATCATATACATTCTTTTTTGGGATGTTGAGCCCCAGAATACTTGAGATGTAAATTTCTCCACTCTGTCCTTCCCACATAAGCAAGTCCTTCTTTGAGAGACGTCCCTGTGGGTTCTCCACAGCAGGTGTCAGTGCATCCCAGCACCATTGACCAGAGTTTTGACAGCAATGCCAGGGGAGGGGCGTGCGTGTGCGCAGTGCCCATTGAGTGTGGGTCCCATGTATTACAACTGCACATGTATGTCCCCCTCACAGTTCCTTCTTGCCATCCCCGTCTTGAGATTGAACTTAGTAGTGGTCTTCACTCATCGTCATTAATCCTGTAGAAAACTAGCTAGTTCTAGTTTTCTTTCTTCATTGATTTCCCATTCGATCCAAGTTCGTTCGTTCTCACTCACTCTCAAAACCTTTTTCCCTGAAGTTTTTTCCTGTTGTTGTTAGACTATTCACGTTTCAGTTAACTATGCTGGATTCACCAGGTTTTAAATGTTGCTTGAGCTGCAATGACACCATGCCTGTATCTGATGGGCACTCTAAATGCGTTAGGTGCCTGAGGAATCTCATGTCCAGCAGGATTACCATCATTGTGCTAAACTGAAAGTGTGAACCTACAGAGATGGACATCTCTGCCTCAAAATGATCATGCTGCAGAAATCCCCAGCACCCAGCCTCTAATCCAGGTACTGACTGGGCCCCAAATTGATAAAGAAGTCCCCCAGGAAATGTGCCTCATTCATTCTTCATAAAGTACAGTCACCCAAATGGTGCACAAGTACAAAATTGGCACTGAGGGCCAAAAAAGCACTGCATCTGGGTACATATGATGCATCAGCCATCTCCAATTGACCACAATACTAATAAGCACGGTGCGCACAAAACACATACCGAGGCAACAGGCCTGAGTATGCTTGCCTCACATAGCTCAAGAACCAACATGGTACTGAGCAATCACGACGCCAACACGTTGGCACAGAAAACTAGCGGCAAGGCACCGCAGCAACCATCTACACCGGATGCCAGAACCATGGTAATATCTGTCGGTACTGTGTGCGCCATATCACGGAACACACATCGGCACTGGCAACGCCACTGCTGGCATCCGTACCAGCTACGGTGTAGATAATAATGACACCTTCTACCCTGGCACCGAGGTACCTGCATCAGAGGGACTTAATTGTCTAGTCCACGTTCAATTCTCCTTTCCTCAGTACCAATACTTCACCGGCTACAGCAGAACATAAACACTGGATGTTGCCTAGTGAACTTTCGAGTGACTATGATGGGGATGTTACTTTCTCACCCCAATTGTCATCTGAAACTGAGGTCTCTCTGTACCATCTGCTGGTTCTGCCAGTCTGAGACCCCCCCCACTGGGCAGGGCTATCCCAACATGGGGACCATATCTGTGGCTGCCACCACCCATGCCATATTCGACACATTGGCAATACTGGAGCCCATGGGCCTGCAACTATAGGAAAGAGCACACTAAGAAGCACAACATACAACCTGTTCCCTTCCCATCACCACTCTCTCTCCATCACCACAACGAATGGAAGACGAGGCACAGGAACCACAGTCTTAGCAATAAGGACTGGATCCATCTCCTGATACCAACTCCTCATCCTACCCCAACAAAGCAGTAATGCCGCCACTACCACCAACAGCAGTGGACGATTTTACTGCATTTCAAGATCTTTTTAGAGTGGCAGCTGACCTCAATATCGCTATGAAGGAAGTCACAGAGGCTCAATATGAACTCATCAACATCCTCCAAATAGCCCCATTAGCAAAAATCACCCTACTCATAAATCCGGCCTTCACTGACCTCGCAAAGAGGATTTGGCAGACTTTGACCACCATTATACACACATGCAAATGGGCAGGTAGGAAGTATTATGTCCCTCCCAAGGTCTGCAAATTCCTCTTTACCCATCCACCCCCACCAGAGGGCCTCATTCTACCCCGACTGATAGAGACAGCAAGAGATTAGACCTCTTTGGGAGGAAAGTATACACATCATCCATGCTACAATTTAGAGTAGCGAACTATATGGTGTTACTCAGCAAACACGATTATAACAACTATTCCAAGTTTAACACTTTTATTGATTTATATACAGGAGGCAAAAACAACCATTTAGGGTGGTTGTCATGGAAGGCCTTACAATATCCAAAACACCTCTGTATGTGGCTCTTGATCCACCACTGGAGATGTCATGAGACAAGCCCCATGGTTCAATTTTGCAGATTTTTTTCCTGATACAATCAACCATGGAAGACCATCTGTTCGAGGGCGAGACACTCTTCTCCATCAAGACCAACAAGGTCTTTCATTCTATGAGACTCCAGAGCCACACTTCGTTCTCTGGGAATACATACAACCACATCCAGAAGACAGTACAGATATCCATCATACCCCAGACCAAGGTACCCACAATATACTTACCAACACCAAAGGCAAGACCACCACCCACAACAACAGTGTGGTCACAATAGACAACAGTGTACATGCACGTAAAACAACTCTACGAACCAATCACCCTAGCAAAATAAAGCAAATGTGAGGCTTCGTTCAAGGGACTGAAAACACTCTCACCTGCTCCAGCAGCATCATCCAGTTATAAACAATTTAATAATCGCATTCTGCCTTTTTACACCAAATGTCAGTCTATAACATCTGACACATGAGTTCTCCAAATGATCTGATCAGGATATACCATGCCATTTACCTCCATCCCTCCTCCCCAGCCACCCACTCTGTCCCTCCTCAGGGACCACTTCAATGATCTTTTGCTGAAGCAGGAGGTTGAATACCACCTTCTGCTTGGCACCATAGACTCCACCCCCCAAAAATACAAGGGAAGAGCATTTCGTTCACATTACTTTCTCACACAGAAAAAGGATGGGGTTTGGTGTCCAATTCTAGGTCTCAAAGCCCTCAACAAATATGTAAAAAGGCAAAGATTTAAGATGGTAACAGTAGCCACTATAGTCTCGGCACTGGAGCAAGGAGGTTGGTTTTTCTCTCTTGACTTTCAGGGCACTTATTTTCATATAATGGTTCATCCCACTCATAGATGCTTTCTCCACTTCATCCTTGGTACCAATCACTATCAGTATACGGTCTTGCCATTTGGACTCTCCACAGCACCAAGAATTTTTTTTCCAAAATGCTAGCAGTAATCACCACTTACTTAAGGAAGCAAGACATTATCATCTTTCCTTACTTGGACAATTGCTTGATCAAGGCAAAATCTGAAATAGACTCCTATCACAGTACCTCCCTGGTCAAAGTATGCTTCCACTCTCTGGGCCAGTTAATAAAGATGAAATCAGTGCTCACACTATTGCAGTCAATACAGTTAATAGGAGCACACCTAAATGCAAAAACAACCATAGCCTCCCTTGCCAACCAACAGGTTCTAAAGAATCAGGGACCTAGTCAGCAAGCTACCGGTCGTGCCTCAACTCATGGCCTATGATTGCCTACAACAGTTGGGACACATGGCATCATGCAGTCCCATAGTACCAGACATGTGCCTTTTCATGCATTGCCTCCAGGGATGGCTCAGGACAGTGTACAAACCAAACATTCACCCCTTGACCAAGACTCTTTCCATCCCCATAATGATGCTGTACTGTGATGGACGAAACCCAAAAATCTATGTACAGGGATCCCTTTACTAATTCTAGAACCCTCTCTCATCATCACTATAGACGCTTCCCTCATGGGATGGAGAGTGCACATGGCAAACACAACAACTCAGGGTGTTTGGTACCTAGCTGAGAGGACCTTCAGATAAACACTCTAGAGCTCAGACTCATCATACTTTCATGCCACCATTTTTTTTCTGGCATTGTCAGGCAAACATGGGAGTCTACATCAACAGCATTGCATTGTTTATATAAACAAGCAAGGTGGTTCACACTCCCGTGCTTTCTATACAGAGGGTATTACCCTCTGGAACTGTTGCCTCAAACATGAGATTGCTATAAGTGCCTGCTACCTTCCGGGTATTCTAAACACCACCACAGATGCTCTCAGCAGAGCCTCACCTCAAGAGCACAAGTGACAAATGAACAACAGCATACTGCCAACACTCTTCCATCACCAGGGCTATCCTCTGATAGACCTTTTTGCACCAACAAAAAGTACCCCCTATTTTGCTCCAGAGTGGGCAGAAGCAAAGAATCTCTGAGAGATGCCCTGATATTCAGATGGAGCTCCCATCTGCTATACACCTTCCTCCTCATACCCCTTATCAACAAAACTATACAGAAAATAAGAACAGAGCAAGGGTCATTCTTATAGCTCCTTCTTGGCCCAGACAGCCACAGTTCGCCTTCTTCAACAGGATGGCTGTATTTTCTCCAGTCACTCTACCGCAGAGTC